AAAAGCACTGAATGCATATGCAATTTTGTACATGTGTATACAAGGCCAGGGAGGCTGTAAGTAAAATAAAAAACACTTGTATTAGGTGGTGAAATAATGAATGACTTTTCTTTTTCAAGAATTACTTTTTGTTTTACATCATATGATCAATGTCTCTATATTTACCTATTTAAAAAAGAAGAAAGAGATGGAGTCACTGTCCTAATTTGGGTTAACTTGCTTTTTATCTTATGGATCAAATTTGAAATTATGTACTTTTATTATTTTTTTTAATTTTTTAAATCATTTTTTTAATTATTTTTTCTAATAGGTACTAAAGACCTATTAGAAAACATGGGACTCATTAAGGGACTTTTGAAACCCAAGATAATTTGCCAAAAGGTATTTTCCTTATTCAGGTTTTTGATCATTTCTTAGAAAACAGTTATTCTCTCCAACTGACAGCTGTTCTATAGTGATCCAGCTGCCCTAAAGCATTCTTGTGGCCTTCAGAGAGATTCCTTCGAAATATTGATGCTTCCACTATGAGAACTATTTAGAAGGAAATTACTAGTGTCCCAAAGAGATTTACTCAGAAACAGCACCCTCTTTGCCGGAGGGATACCTCAGCCACAAAGCGAGAAGTGTTGGGTCTCAACCCCAAACCAAGCTCTCCAGCTTAGAGCACCAGAGCTGGGAACAGGTGCCCACAAAACATCTGGCTATGAATATCAGTGGGAATTCTGCCCACCAGGGAGAAATGAAAGTCTGCTAGAGACACAGGTACCCTCCTAAAGGGTCACAAAATCTCACTCACAGCCACTCACCCTGGGATCTGGTAGAGTGGGTTAGAGTCACTTGAGAAAGAGACTGGGGTTTGTGACTCTGAAGAGAGAGCTGAAGGACCATCCACCAGGATTCCTGTGAGGAGTCATTCTCCCATACCACAGACCTCATCTTTCTTGGGTGGAGCACTCCCCTGCAGATGGCATCAGCCTGGGGGAATGCAATAGCCTCCCCTGGACTCCCTGCTGTCCCTCCCTGTGGAGCTTATGCCTTATTGAGCAGTCAGCTGCCTGGGCTGGGGTGTAGGCAGACTCAGGGGATGTCAATGACTACATTGTGTGGCTTTGGGATGGGGGACATGCCCTCTAATTTCTCATGAACTTGACCTGCAATGCCTCCCCACCATGAAAAATCTGCTGTCACCATGCTTGGGGATCCTGGCAAATGCAACCTCCTGACTGCTAGTGGCTCCACCCTGCCGAGGTCTGGGCAGAATCCAGGCAAAACTGAGTTGTGTGACTCAGGGGTGGGAGCCACTACCCCCCATCCCCCAAGCCTGACGGATACCTCTCCCTCCTGGGAGATCCACTAGCCCCATCCTCCTGACTCCATATGTCCCCACCCTGCTGAGACTGAACTCCTGACAGAATCTGGAAACACTGAGTTGCATGGCTCTAGGACAAGAGCCATTTTCCCCCTCACATGCCAGACTGGTGCAGACCCCTCCCTTCACACGGCCAAATCTTGGTCTCTTTGGACCTGATAAACTGCTGGCCTGACACTGAACAGTGGCCAGCCTCAGACAGCATCAGAGCAGGATCCAATTAGCTTCAAAAGTGGTACCAGACCCTGCTGAGGTGTAATCTGCCTCCTGTGGTCAACACCTACACAGCAGCTTGTACACTGCAGTCAGGGTCAATCCTCACAGTCACCCAGCCTGAGGGATGGCCTCGTGCATGAATGGGGCAATTAACAATCAAGATTCATTTACAACAGGAGGGGCCACATAACCCAACAAGGGACATTCCTGGAGCACCCAACCCAACTGATCAAGGAGACTGTGCCACTGGTCCCCCAGGACACCTACTACATAAGGCCACTATACAAAGGCTAAGAGATATAGCAGATCTATCTAATACAGTGATTCCCAAAGTGGGCGCTACCGCCCCCTGGTGGGCGCTGCAGCGATCCAGGGGGGGGCGGTGATGGCCACAGGTGCATTTGTTTTAACTTTTTTTGTATTACCTTTCTATTCTGAGTTCAATAAATAGTTTCATAATTTCAAACTTCAATGTTTCTAATTTACACCTTTCTTTACTATATTTTACGAAAAAGGTAGAAACATTAATACATATATCTTTCTGTTTAATTGCTATTAAAATTAAAAAAAATTAATTTCCAGGGGGCGCTGAGTAATATTTTTTCTGGAAAGGGGGCGGTAGGCCAAATAAGTTTGGGAACCACTGATCTAATACATAGAAACAAACATAAAGAGGCAGCCAAACTGGGGAGACAAAGAAATAAACTCCAAATAAAAGAATAGGAGACCTCCAGAAAAAGAGCTAAATGAAATGGAAGTAAGCAATTACCAGAAATAGAGTTCAAAAAAGTGGTTAAAAGGATACTCAAGAAACCTAGTGAGAACTTCAACAGCATGAAAAATGACATAGAATGCATACAAAAGATAAAGAATACAATATCTGAAATAAAGAATACACTAGAAAAGAATAAACAGTAGATTAGATGAAGCAGAGGATCGAATCAGGAAGACAAGGTAGCAGAAAATACCCAATCAGAGCAGCAAGAAGGAAGAATAATTCTAAAAAATGAGGATAGTTTAAGGGACCTTTGGGACAACATGAAGCATAACATTTGCATTATAGGGGTACCAGAAGGAGGGAGAGTGCAAGGGATTGAGAACCTATTTGAAGAAATAATGACCAAAAACTTCCCTAACCTGGTGAAGAAAAAAGACACAAGTCCAGGAAGTGCAGAGTCCCAAACAAGATGAACACAAAGAGGTAGTTGGAGGTGAAAGAGGGCATAGAGGGGATAAATGACAATGGAAGGAGACTGAATTTGGAGTGGTAAACACATAATACGATGAACAGATGAGGTAGTATAGAATTATACATGTAAAACCTATATAATTTTACTAACCAATGCCACTCCAATAAATTCAATTTAAAAAAAAAGAAACTTCAGAATAGAGGTGTGATATTAGGCAAGTGTGGGTGCAAGGCAGGCCTCTGTGTAACTAAATTTAAAAGAGTCACTTTAGGAGGGAGAAATGGAGGACAGACTACAGAATGTAAACAACAATTATCTAGGTGACAGGGTTATGTCAGTTTTTTTTCTTTTTACTCATCTGCATTTATAAATTATATTTAATAAATCTTAATTTTCTAGGCCACATATCCTATAAATAAAGGGTGTCCCAAAAATATATAACTACACTTTGAATAATTATAAAGGCCGTGTTTATTAAAATACATTTCATTTTCAAAATTAAACTAAAAGCTGTTAAAGTATACATTTTTTGGAACACCTTATATAATAAACAAATTGTATTTAATTTATGATATTATAGATAGCATAATAATGTGAATATGTAAATAAATGTATGTATATAGATGAATGTGTGTGCATGCATTCTTTCAGAAAAGCAAGGTTTCCTTTGTGCTTTAAATATGCACCTCTGGTAAAGATGCTATAGTATAAAGTTAAGTAAGTATAGCTCCCGGCTTTGATAATGTTGCTACATGTACTAGTATTGCTCTCCCTGAACTAGGAGACATTTCCAAAGCAAACAACATTGCAATAATGTAGTCATTAATTATAAGGAAGAGAAAGGATGTGGGTTTTTTAATTTATTGATTGATTTTTAGAGAGAGAGAGAAACATCGACTTGTTGTTCCACTTATTCGTTGTTCCACTTATTTGTGCATTCATTGGTTAATTCTTATATGCCTTGTCAGGGGCTCAAACGCACACCCTGGGTGTAACCGAACTACCCACCAGGGCAAGAAGGATGTGATTTGAGACTATAAATGATTTCTCAATTTTTATTCTTAAATTTTCTCTAAGGAAGTTTCTAAAGGCCCCAAATATTGCACCTTATTTCTGAAGAAACCAGGGAGAATTAATTTTTCCAATCAGGGAGAATTTCCCCCCCCCCAAATCATAAGATGGTGCCAGACATTATTGTGTTTGATTTTCTTTCAACTTATGTTTTTGTTTCATTTTTGGAAATGGGTGCAATCAACAAACTCCCTGGACTTTGGAATTAAATTAAATCCCGGCCTTGTCACCTATTAGCTGTGCGATCTTGGTTGAAAAATTTTCCAAACCCCATTTTGCCATCTGTAAAACGGACATGAGGACATCCTCCTCGCTACACAGCTGCTGGGAGAATTGATTGAGACCATGTTTATTAACACTCCTAACACAGTGCCTGGAACTTCGGGGGGACCCAATAAAATAAGAATCCATTGGCTTTCAGAGGCTTCGAGACGTCATTGAGCCTGCTGAGGCCACGATTATTCTATTAGCCACCGGCGAGCTGAGAAGCGGATTCCAAAACACGTCAAGTGCAGACGCCAGGGCGCGTGAGCGGCGCGAGCCGGCAGCACAGCGCTGAGGCCGAGATTGCCCCCGGCCCCGAGTTCACAAACCCGCGTGGGAGTGCACGCTAAGAAAGATTCCAAGGAGAAAATGAAAAGCAGGAAGGAAAAAAACAACAACACAGAGACAGTGACTGACTTGCAGTCCTGAGGAGAGGAGGCATTTCCGGGAGCAAACAAAAACAGTTTCTTTTTCTGCCTGGTGACAAGAGAGTAAACAAGGCGCCTGCAGCTCCAAGTTCACTTTTGCAAAAAGAAACGGCGCGGCCAGAAGCCTCAGGTGCAACCGCCGCCTCGGGCTTATTCCCTAACTTTGGGGGGAAACCGGCGATGTCAGTTCCAGCCCGCGTTCCCCACCGCCGGGCGCGCACTCCCGCCGCCCGGAGCGGACCTGTGGCTGCCCTGGTAAGCGACCCCCAGACCCCCCAGGTCCCGGCACCCGGAGCTGCTCGGTCTGCCCCGCCTCAAACCCCAAGAAAAGCGAGTTCCCGGGCTTCCTAGCAGCCCGGGGGCGCTGTGGATCGCCATCCCGGGGCGCGGCCGCCCTCCAGCACCCCCCCCCCCATTCTCCCGCGCCGCAGCGCCCGCCCCACTCCGGCGGGGAGGACTCACCAGGAGCAGGAGAACCCCGATCCGGGGCATCGCTGGGGAGCGATCCGACGAAGTAAAAGAGCTGCTCCAAGTCCCGGCAGCTCGGGTCACCGCTCGCGGGGAGAAATGACAGCCCCGCCCGGCCTCTCCCGGGGCCCAGCACTAGGGCGGGGTGACTCACAGCTCCCTACTTCTCTCTCCAGAGTGTCTCGGAGCACCTGTACGCGTTGCTCCCTGAAGCGACCAAAGGAAATGCACACCCCCTCCCTCCCGAGCCAGGGGGAGGGGTGGGGAGGGGAGGAAGCCCTGCGGGGAACTCCTGGCTGGGGAGAGCGAAATTGATTCAGCTCCTGGTCTGGGGGGGATGGGACGCAGAGCGGGGGGTGGAGAGAGTGAGGTTTATTGCACAAATGGGCATTCCCCATTCAGGGGGCATTTCCGCGGTCGCTTGCCTCCTCCCGCTCCGATGAGGACCCCGAGTTGCTGTCCTATGGGAACTCCTCACTAGTTCTAACTGGGAAGGTTGGGCAGGACTTGAGCTCTGACTGGGAGCTCTGAACGCAGTAGCCCTGCGCGGGGCGGGAGCCTTCGCTGGTGGCTGAGAACACCCGCCCTCGCTCAGCCGCGAGAGGGGGCGTCGCGGGGGTCCTGACGAGTGTGTGCAGCGACCGTGATCCACCGAGAAGGTTCACGCGTTGTGCTGCGGGGATTCTGCAAGGGGCGGAGGACTCCTTGGCTTTTACTTCTCAAAAGGAGAACAAAGCTTACTTCCTACTCCTGACAAATCCCCGAGCTCTGGCTGTATTTAAGGTTTACAATGACTTCCCCTCACCTCCTTTATTACTCATTTCCTGGTCGATTTTCTTAAAAAAAAAAAAAAAAGAGGTGGGGTGGGGGTAGTTGGGGGTAGTTCTTTGGTGCTCGGGTTAACACCTTTCAAAGTTATTTTGGAAAAGTAGATCTGTCTGTTTAGGTAGTTTGCAAGAATTTGCAGGAGGGGAAGTTTGTATGGTGACTTGTGGGGTTTTTTTTGTAGTTGTTTAAAATATGTTTTTATTGATTTCAGAGAGGAAGGGAGAGGGAGAGAGAGAGATGGAAACATCAATGATGAGAGAGAACCATTGATTGGTTGCCTCCTGTACGCCCCCTACTGGGGAATCAAGCCCACAACCCAGGCATGTGCCCTTGACTGAAATGGAACCCAGGACCTTTCAGTTCCCAGGCGGATGCTCTATCCACTGAGACACACCAGCCAGGACATGACTTGTGTTTTGAGCTGCACTTGTGACCAGTCTTGTAGGTGTTGGTGTGCTTGTCTCTGCCTCGCCTTCCGGGGAGGTTAGTGAGAGCTGCGAGGAAGACCATGGCTGTGCCAGTCCTGTTCCTACAGTTCCCAGCACAGAATACACATAAAAGGAAGGGAATGGGGCTAGGGCTGATGGTGTGTTATCTCTGCAACTTTCCTGTAAATCTAAAGCTTTTATAAAATAAAAAGTTCATTGAAATAAAAAAAAATGTATAAGAAGGAAGGGAGGGAAGAGAGAAAAGAGAGAAGACATTGACAAAATCAACATCTCTTTAGAGTGAATTATGAGCCAGCAACTTTAAAAAATGGTTCTTTCGTACTTAATATTTATCATTTTAGCCCAGTGAGGTGAGTGACTAGTAAACTTACTTTACAAATAAAGAATTGTAGCCAAAAGAGTTGAAGCAACATTGGCAAAGTTGGATAGTTGGTAAACAGCAGAGCCGGGAATTAAACTTTGATATTCTTGCTCCCGAGGCCCTCACCTTTCTAACCAACCCCCCTTTTCCACACCTAATTCCCCCAAGTTCAACAAGTGCTTTGGGGGGGGGATGTTTCATGGTCAAATGATTTTAGAAAATATGGGGTTAATTTAATTTAAAGGGGCCTCTTAATCCAAAAATTCTAAGAGCTCTTAATATGCTAATATGCATCTTGACTATCTAAGAGGGGGCTATGATATGAATTTCCCCCCAAACTTCCTTGTCTTCTTTGTGGAGTCCTTTGAAGAGGACCTATTGAATGATCACTTCATGGATGCTGGTGTTCTGGGGAAAATAGTTTGGACATTTTTAAAGGCCATTTTTACTTTATTTATTTATTAATTCATTTATTTTTGTATTTTTTATTTCAGAGAGGAGGGGAGAGGAAGAGAGAAATATCAATGTATGTACCAAGGATCAAACTCAAACCTAGGTATGTGCCCTGGCTGGGAATCAAACCCACAACCTTTTTTTTATTTTTTTTATTATTCGTAGTGTACATGATGACATTCCAACCAACGGAGCCACCTAGCCAGGGCCAAGGTCATTTTTACTTTAATTATACATTCCTAAGACCTGCAATCCTTCAAGAGCAAATAAACAAATCATTTTTTAATCGTAGAATTTCAGGCATTCTACCAGATGTGGGAGATATTTTGGACCCAACCATCCTGATTGTACTCAAAACGTGCCACATAAGTTAAAGGCCGCTTCTATTCTAAAGATACCCTGGCCATTGAACACGTCATTCTGAATAACATTTATTTTTTTTAAAATATATTTTATTGATTTTTTACAGAGAGGAAGGGAGAGAGATAGAGAGTTAGAAACATCGATCAGCTGCCTCCTGCACATCTCCCACTGGGGATGTGCCCGCAACCCAGGCACATGCCCTTGACTGGAATCGAACCCGGGACCTTTCAGTCCACAGGCCAACGCTCTATCCACTGAGCTAAACCGGTTTCTGCCTGAATAACATTTAAACACGTATCTAAATATGTAAAAAGCTGAGGGAAGAAACCTTCAATATCTTTTCACCACCAAGTGTATTCCTTTTCTCCATGGACCTAATGTTCAAAAAATGTTTGTCAACCAAATTGCTACCGCAATAAGTTGACTTTGTTCATTCACAACTGTAATGAGCATCTATGACTGTTTTTCCTACATCTTTCCCCCTTCTTCCTGGTAACAGCACTTCCAAGTTGCCTTTGGGAAAATTGACCCTCTTCCCTCTTTTTAACTCTTTGTAGAAGTCAGTTTCAGAAAAACAGGACCATTAGAATAGATATAGATATAGAAGTATCTATTATGCTTAGATCGACAGATGGATTTTAAAAAACTGGCTTATGTGAGTGTGGAACCTGGCAAGTCCCAAACTGCAAGGTAGGCTGGCAGGCTGGAGACAGGAAAGAGTTACAGTTTGAGTCCAAAGTCAGTCTGCTGGCTGAATTCCCTCTCTCTCAGGGGAGCTCTTATTTAATTATTAATCCCATCCCAAAAGAAAATATGTACCTTCACAGAAACATCCAAAGTAGTACCACGTATTTGGGTCCTGTGGCCTAGTCAGATCAACCACCACAGGAGCATTGACACCAATCCAGGGCTTTTGTGTGTATGAAGGTAAGAGGACCATGAGGAGGACAGAAAACTCCATTTGGTTAAGACAACTAGCACATCATATTCAATGGGAGTAAACGTGACTTTTGCTGGGAACAGGAGGACCTGATCCCTTCTCCACTGGATTTGAAGTGGGACCATGTAAAGTGTGGGATGGATGCGGTTGTGAAGAAAGCTTGTGGGCCTGCCAGCGCTGAGAACAGAGTCAGCCCAGGCTGAGAAGAAACTGTGCTGAGAGGCAAAGCCTGATAGTGCCACCTGAGTCCTGCTGTCATCTTGAAATCAAACCCTGGACTCCCACAGTTACCCAACTCCATACAGTTTCAATTTTTGCTTAACCCCGATTCTTACAACTAATAGAGTCCTAATTTATATATCACCAGAGCTTATGGTCAGCATAAGAAATCCTGTTACCAAGTTAACTATTACAATTTCAGCCTTAAGTAAAGATAATTGTCTACCCAAGCCTGAGGAAATAGCAAAATAACTAGGAACATTCCTTCTACTAAAGAATTTTTCTATCACTAGAGGGTGCCAGATACCATCTCAGCCAAGTAAGGAGGAAACTGAATAATTTCAGGTCTATCAATTAATCCTATATAATAAAAGGGTAATATGCAAATTGACCCTAACAGTGGAATGGCCAGGAAGGACCGTCGCTATGATATGCACTGACCCCCTGAGGCAGACACTCAATGCAGGAGCTATCCCCGGTGGTCAGTGCACTTCCACAGGGGGAGCGCCACTCAGCCAGCAGCCGACTCATGGCTGGCCAGTGCAGCGATGGTAGGAGCCTCTCCCACCTCCGTGGAAGCACTAAGGATGTCCAACTAACAGCTAAGCCCTTAGTCGGATATCTCCTGAGGGCTCCCAGACTGCAAGAGGGATATCTGACTGCCAGCTTAGGCATGATCCCCCTCAGAAGTTTATTTTATCTTATTTTTGCAATTTTCAAATGGTCCTCTCAAGGCCACGTGGACCACCAACAGCTTTTATAAGTGACAATTTAGGTGGGCCCTGCCCATACCTACCAACATCAGTGCCTTTTACTTTCTTGTACTGTTTTCCTCCTTCACCAGATTAGAGGGCATAAGCATTGCCTGCACTCCATCATCTTCGATTCTCCACAAAGAAAACAGGATTTTAAAATTTTTTCTGGAAAAGAACTAAAAAGGAATCGTTAGATTAGGCCTAAGCCGGCAGGTGGACATCCCTTGAAAGCTCCTGGACTGCAAGATGGTGCAGACCAGGCTGAGGGACACCCCCCCCCCGCAAGTGCACGAATTTTCATGCACCGGGCCTCTAGTAGAAATATATTTAGGTTCTTGGGAAAAGGAAGAAAAAGGAGGAAGTGCTTTGATATAGACAGAGAATCCATGACCCTGATCACAGAGACATTTTCATCTCCCAGAGAACATATTTCTTACAAGGTTAAAGAAATGATGCAGGATTAAGCCCACCCAACTGAGTCACACCAGCTTGGGTACTAATAGATATATTTTAAATAAACTTACTTTGTTTCTAACCAAGGTTATGTTAAACTATTGCATTATAACTGCAAATGGATAATCAACATTCCTTACCCAAAATAGAAAGTAACCATAAAAATAAATACAGAACTATTAAAACAAAATATTTGTCTATATACCTCTAAAATTGTTTCCCGAACCACCAGTGGTAAGGGCAGTAGTTATGGAAAGGTTGACTTCAGGCCTAGTAGCCTGTTCTCTATTTTAGCCTTTCTCCCTGCCTCCAAATGACCATTAGAGAAAAGACCAACAAACCAGGTCCTCAGACCCTTCCCAGGAGACTAGAAGGGAGGTGATGTGTAAGAAAAAGAGAAGATGTCATTGTAGTCATTGTCTCTGACGCCCATGTAGTGCTGGAAGAGTGAGATTGGTGGGGGCTGGAGGGGGAGGGGAGCCCTCTACCATGACATCGGCCTTTCCTATTAAAACAGGCTGAGGGACAGCTTAAGGCAGATGATGGATGGGGAAGAGGGGAGGGCTCCTGCAGAGCTAAGGAGAGAATGTGGAGTGGGTGTTGGAGGAGAGAGAGCAGAGGAGTTGGAGGCTCGTTTAGAGCACAGAGTACTTGGACAG